AATGGCACTCAAGGACATAGTGATATGAAGAAGCACATTTACCGCTCTTTTTTTAATATTCTGACCTTCCTTGTCTTAATAAAAGTCTCCCAGGCCCATCTCACACCCTGATTTGCATAACATATAAATGTAAACTTATTTCTGAATTTTTCAAAACAGAATTCCTGACTGTCAGCATTAAAGGAGTCTGCCAAATGTTAATTGTGCTTTGGAGATACCGCTAATGTAACATAATCCAGCCAATTAGCTGTAAAAGCTGACTAAAACATAGCTGGATAGAGATAATTAAAGACAAAAATAAGATAAAGATGGTGATTTGTCTTGGGAAAGTGTGAGGAGTTTCCATTCTGAACAATGAGGTTTTACATAAATTGTATTACATAACTGAAAAGTTAAAAATAATAGCTCAAGTAGATGCAGCACTGAAGACATGGCAATAAAGTACTTATTATAAATTTAGGTTGACATTGTATTGTGTGACATGAAAACATTTGACTTGGCATAGTAAAAATATATTTTATTCACAAAAGAGGCCTGTGTTTATAAGATGGTACAAATGATGTGCATTCTAGGAAATGAGCCTCTTGCTGGGAAAACAAATAGAATTGCAAAAAATAAGCACTCTCCTTTCTAATGCCTAAAACATATTAACTCGTTTAGCAGCAGCAACATGATTTCATGCCACTTTAATAAGGTTATGCAGTATGTAGACAAAAGAGACAGTTCCGAAACCAAAAGGCTAAGGGCTTGAATTCATGGAGGGCTTTTTAGGCAATTATAGGACCTTCACAGACACTTAAAATTGTGTAAAAATATCATATTTTATCAAAGGCATTAAAAATACGAATACGAAACATAAAAATATATATGCATATTGGTGCTCAGCCTCAACTTGGTAAGCATGAACCTCGTATACAGAGATGATGACAAGTTATGATCAGTGAGTCCTTAGTTGGAATCAATGAGCGGTTACTGTTGTAGAAAATCTTCTACGAGTTTTGCCACAGCCGTGGCTTCATCAGGAGGAACAAGTTATGATCAGGGAGTCCTTAGTTGGAATCAATGGACGGTTACTGTTGTAGAAAATCCTCTACGCATCTCGCCACAGCCGTGGCTTAATCAGGAGGAACATTTGATGTGGATGATTGTAACCATATATGAATATAGCAGCAGCTATTCTCCCATTGGAGTGAGCAAAACAGGACTGCAGAGGCTTCAATAATCACAACCTTGGTTCCACCTAGGGGGCCGCAGGAGAAAACTGAGCAATGAGGAGATGACTGCAATCGAGATGATGCCTGTTGATTCAAATAGCATAGTATCTCACATTTGCTGCTCATCTTGGAAAGCCTCAACACATATGCATTGCTATTTGAATCAACAGGCATCATCTCGATTGCAGTCCTCTTCTTGTTGCTCGGTTTTCTCCTGCGTCCCCCTTTTGGCTTCAGAACTGTCTTTGTCTACATATTGCTTCATGGGTGTGGCTGTAGGACCTTCCCCTCTTGAACATAATCTTATTACTAAATAGGGTTATGCAGCTTATTAGACTGGAATTTTACATAAGTTGGCCAGACTAAAGTGATAACTGAATTTCAAAGCACCCTTGCATACTAATAAAACAGGTTCTTGGTCCATTGAATGTGAGGAATCACTCAGCGACTTGGCATGTAATACGGATAACCACTGTTTTAAACAAAATGCATTTTGTAAGCATGAAAATGTTTTATTTTAAATACATTTTTTTCATATAATCAAAATAATTTTACACAGATTTGTGAATGAACTAGTAAAGGGTGTGGTCATAAGCACCCCAAAGAACAAGTCAGATCTATCCTGGAATATTATAGTACAAAAAGTCTAAAAGCGGTGTTTGTCCAGAGTAAAAATTGCCATGTAGTTTTAATGTAAAAATTGAAAATGCCTAATAGGTCTAATTTTCATGGTTATTCTATAATATAGTTGCACATGAACTGATACACTATCAATATACCTATATCAGCTATGTTTTTATATCAGAAAAATATAAGGGAGCCTGTTCATTCCGCATTAAATCCCAACTCCAGCCAAAGCATTCTATTTTGTTTTGAATAGAACAGGAAGAGTTAGAGCTTTAGTCAGGTATTTATTGCTTTGTCCCTGCCAAAAAGATGTCTCATTTCCAGAAAGGATAGCAAGTTGGTCAAAACAATTACACATTATTAGTAGTTTTGACAATTATTTATTGTGTTTGATGCCTTCCAGTTCCAGTGATGACTGCACCCCCTGTTTTTGTAAGGGTGCCAAAGGGACTTGAAATAAGGGAAAATCTACCCAGTGGGGTCACAGACCAAAATAAAAACCTGGCAGAATTCGTGAAGCTGAACTCTGTCCAGTGACCCACCTGATCCCAGATAATCTACAGCTTTTATTTTTTTTAAATAAAGTTTATAATGCTTATCTCAATCCATGGCTCTGTAATCTAAGCCTTTTGATGAAGGTAACCAGTCTGCTGAAGTTGTTTTGTATGCTGGTCTTTGTGCAGCCGCCGGCCTTCATGCCATGCCCTCATACCAACATTATCACTGCAATTAGTACAGGATCATTTGATTGACTGCTTGCCATGCAAATGGAAAGCATCCATGTAATCAGTATGGTATGTGAATACTGCCAGATGTACCCTACCATTTTTCAGCGCTAAAAACTATAGGCCTGAGACTTTGGATCGTGGATAAAGAGAACTTTAAGTCGGTCTCAGAAAGTGGATGGAGGAGTAATCCAGTGTTCTTTTGTTTTAGTTTTTTTTCTGCCTGCATTCAGCTTTAACCCTTTGACATACACGAGTTAGCTATTCTGCACATAATTGGCACGGTCTCCCACCTAATGCAGCTGTGTAATGAATAGGAGGAGAAGTGACACAGTGAGGTTGGATTCTGAAGTGTTTTTACTGTATAACCTGTTGGATGGGAAACCAAGATTTTACAGAAGGTAGAGGGCACATATCTCATACAATATGAACTGATTGCTAAAAGAAAAATGCTTGAAGTTTTATTTGATACAGTATCTTGTATTTAAAAAGAACCTGTGGGGTCTATACCAAGTTGTTTTTAAAGGTACAAGCTTTGGTGCTTGCTGCAGGTCAATGACTTACGTAAACAAACCCAGCTGCTATGGAAAAGCCATACCTGGAAAAGAACATAGGACATATTTAGAAAGCACCACCGAATACTACTCAGATGCTGAGAAATGTTCTGCTGCAGTTTGAAAGGAAAATTAAGTTGGTGGGAGTGTCCTATTCAGCTCTCACTGTTTCCTCCCTCTGACCATCAACTACTACAGGATACAATACCAACACGGAGGTCAGCGGGAGCAGTCAGTGAGAGCTGTGGGAACTCAGATTACTGATACTCCTGGAAGTCACTTTGGACTTCAGCAGAAGAATTCTCAGCATCTCAGTGATGTCCGGTGGCAAAGGCACCAGGAAAGGTAAGTATGTCCTGTTTTCTTTTATAGGAATAGATTGCTGTTTAACATTTTTCTAAAGGGTCACCTTCTCTCTAATTAGTAAAGAAAGTATAAGGATGACACACCTAGTGTAAAAGTATGTCAGCAATGACAGCAGACAAGCAAAACAAATGGCAAACGCACTCATCAATTTGTTACCAGCTTTACAGAAAGGTGCACATGGAAGGGCCTAATACAGTACAAACAGCAAAAAGTTTTCCCAGCAGTTAATTTTTAACTTGGCCAATATACATGATTATAGTGAATGATGTCAAATATGCGTGTCCTGCTTTTTTTGCATGCTGGCTGGCGAGTGTGCAGGGAAAACTTTTTGCTGTTAGCAATGACAGCAGGACACGCATATTTGACACCATTCCCTATAATCATGTATATTGGCCAAGTTAAAAATTAAATGCATTTAAAAACATTGCATCTAGAACTATTGATCACATTTAAAAGGTTGAGTACCCTGAAGCAAGGGTGGCCAAACTTCAGCACTCCAGCTGAGGTGAAACTACAAACCAAGCCTCTGAATATTACACCTGTCACTGTCAAGAGTATTGAAATGCCTAATGGAATTTGTAGTTTCACCACAGCTGGAGGGACAAAATTTGGCTACCCCAGCTCTAGAAGGATGTAAACCATACTTCAGCATAAAACACTATGAAGAAAGCATAGTTAAGATATGTGTTGTAGAACATTTTAGCTACTAAGCAGTCACAGTTAGTGTGCACACATAACAATTTTTTAATAGCACATTATGTTGACATTTGTTCCCCTAACTAATTTGTATTAAGAAATAATGTAAATGGAAACGTTCCATTAAGACTTTATGTACATTCAAACATATTTACAAAACAGCTATTAAGATCTATAGGACTATGCTATAAACAAAGCATTTTGGGAAAATGTGCATATGATAATGAGGGCAACAAGAACTTAAATTAAATGGGTGAGCTGCAGGGTGACAAAGGGACAATACTACAGTGACTATTATATGAGGTACGCCAAGCCTGGGTGCTCAGGTGCAGGAGTGACAATGCTGCCCCCACTGCTTACCTGTCAGCTGCTGAATGAAGCAAGAGGGAAACAAAATTGTGGACACAATTCAATGAAAATGATCATTAATAAGAAAGGAAAAAACAAAGTTAATTTTACTGTGGAGTGCTGATTTCACTACTGGTGAGGAAAGCTTACAAAGCTACAGCTGAAAGAACTAAAAGTTACATAAAATTTCAACAATATGGCTTAAAATCAAAACAAATGCAGTCACAGTATGATATGACAATCTGAACTTTGAGTTCCCATTTGTTAACTCTTATTTTCTTCTAGACTTAATAATTTGATCATTTAAACCAGACACAGGCAACCTACACATGACCCACAACAATTGGCAACAGATGACTGTAACTTGAGCAGAACTCAGATTTATATAGAATTGAATTCTTGGCTGTGCATGTTTAAGTGTAATCATTACACAAAATAAGCAATTCAAAGGCATTTTCTCCTTGGCTTACCTTACGTAAAGCGAAATGGGCACTACAGTATTCAGTATGATGATGTAAGACCAGAATGTGAGGAATCCTGAGAAAACAGCGCTATTAACCACCTCTTCCCAATATAAGTAGACTCTGAAACGACTGCCCACATGGTGCTCCCAAATAGAATTCCCAACAGCTAAAATAATCCCCATGCACACCAGGAAACCAAATATCTGTAATACAAATTGAAAAAAAAAAGAACTGTAAAAATGAGCACAGATATTTAACTGTCTCCAGAACCCACTGTCACCAGAAAGATAATACAAAACTTAAAAAACAAGACAGAAGTCCTAGAGGTGAGCATGGGAGGAGTTGACAATGGAGCTAGAAAGCAGGAGGTCTTTGGAAGAGCGGAGGGGATGGTTAGGGTGATACGTTGAAGATATAGCCGGGGCAGAGTTGTGGATGGCTTTGTAAGTGGTTGTCAAATTTATTCCTTTGGGCGATTGGAAGAGAAAGGATTGCCAGAGGGGGGTGGCTGACATAGAGCAGTTAGTTAGGTGAATGAGTCTAGCAGCAGAATTCATGATAAACTGAAGAGGGGATAGCCTGTGTAGAGGTAGGCCAATGAGGAGGGAGTTGCAATAGTCAGGATGAGAGATAACAAGTGAGTGGATGAGTAGCTGTGTGGTTTAATTAGGAAGTAAGGGGCGTATTTTTGAGATGTCATGAAGGTGAAGGCGGCAGGATTTGGATAGTGATTGGATGTAGGGCAGAAAGGTGAGGTCCGAGTGAAGGATGACACCCAGCACTTTGGCATTGGGGGAGGGAGGGATAGTAGTGTTATCAATCCCAATGGAAAAGTTGGGTGAAGGTGCACAGGTGGGAGGAAAATCATGAGTTCAGTTTTTGAAAGATTACGTTTTACGATTTAACCCCTTCGTGACGGGAGACGTACAGGGTACGTCCCGGCACTTTGATTCTCAGCAGTTACCAGTCATTAATGAATGCCTCAGTATTGAGGCATTCATTAATGAAATAATTAAGCTTTTTGTAAAAGCTTCTACCTTTCATTAATGAAAGAATGAAGCCGTTACATGCAATTTGCGATCCTGTATTTGACAGCTGAAAATAGCAGAGAGGTAGCAGTGACTCACCTCTCTGCTATTTGTTTTAACAGCTCGAGAGCGATGTTTAGATACATTTCACTCAAAAGATACAATGTATATCTTTTGAGTGAAATGTATCAGTTCTGATCGTCTAGGCACGATCAAAGAGCTTTTAGGGAGATCTGAATCTGACTAAAGTCAGGATCAGTCTCTAAGGTTATTATTAGCTGTTCCTAAGTTTGGAGCAGCCTAATAGCAAAAAAATATAAAATAAAGTTAATTTATCAAGCAGTCATAGTGACTGCTTGATATAAACTGACAAGAAAAAAAATAAGTTTTTTTTTCGTTATTTTTTTATTTTATTCAAACTAAGTGAGGGGTTAGGTACCCATATGTGATATAATTATATCTGTCCTCTAAAAAACTATATATAATATGTGTGGGTACATTTAGTAAGAAAGTATATTACTGCTGTGGAAGAATCACACAGCAAAAAATGTAAAAAGTGCATCAGTCATTTATGAACAGAAACTGAAAACTAGCTCAGTCATGAAGGGGTTAAAGGACAATTAACAGATTTTAAGGACGATTCAAGAAAATTGTTTAAAGGATGTTGTGCCCAGCTAAAGGTGGCCATACACTCTACAACCATCGCAAGACTTTAGTCTTGCGATGGTTGTAAAGGGATTAAAAAAACGTACGATCTGCCTATCTTGGACAGGCAGATCGCACTCTCGATCATCGCAAGCCCACCCCCCTGAGGGGCGGGCTTCCGATGACCGCAATGCTGAACGGGCAGTGTGCGCACACCGGCCCGTTCAGCATTTATCTTCCGAGCACCGTTCTAACCAGCCGAGAATCGTACGATTCCCGGCTGGTTTTCGAACATGCTGGTTCGACAGAAGACGTGCGACCGTACAGTAGAAACGGTCGCACGTCTCCGTTCACACTGCTCGATTATCGTACGAAAAACCGATCGCATACGATTATCGTACGATAATCGTGCAGTGTATGGGCACCTTTAGACCAAAAGATGAAGTAAAGTAAGAATGCCATTTTGGTAATTGATCAAATAAACTATTAACACTTTTATTTCTGAAAGCATTCTTACCGCATTTTTTCACACCTGCCCAAAACCTTTGCACAGTACTGTACACTGTAATTCAAATTTTTAGTGCACAAAGTTCTTAGATGACACCATAAGGTTAGTTGTTTTTGACTTTGACTTGTGTTTGGATTACGCACAATCTTATGGTCCCATCTAAGAACTTTGATTTGGATTTCAGTGCATTACTGATGGTCTAAGCTGGACACAGCATCCTTTTAACAATTGAGTTTGGTGAGAAAGTGACACTTGCCCCTTATGAGATCTTTTAACACTGGGTTGTCTGTATTTATGCAGACTCTAAGGTAGGGTGTTGATTTGCTTTAATTGTTAAATCCTGATTAATCTGTTAAAGATACTTGAGGGTTGTGGAAGAGAACTACTGATATTAAGGTGCCCAAGCATATCAGATCTCCATCATCAGGTACTCACACATTATTCAGGTTTGGACAATTGGACTCCCTATTCAGCCCTGAACATTACAACAGATCTGCATTCAAAAATTCTAGTCTATTTTTTTTTTGTTGACACTGACTTAATAGAAACACAGCAGGCCAAATATAAATAATTTATTATCTGATTGAAAATTATCTGAACTGAAGAGGGATGGGAACTGCAGGGAGGAGAATCTTCTCACCGGAGTATAGAGTACATATTTATAGCTATCATATTCACTGATATATTTACAGGTAGGAAAAAAATTCAAATTTTGTACTTACCATGAAATATATTTCTTGACATAGTAAATCATTGATGTGTGGGTTATGTTGCTGCCTTCCGGAGGTGGACAACAAACAACAAAAACAGTTGAAGGCCAGCCCACTATAAGCACGTCTCTAACTGTCATGTCTCAGTTTTGTGAGCAAGCAGTGCATAAGGTCAAAACACAGAGAAGTAAATGACCTGTGTCCCACAATGCACTTCAAGAAAAAGATTTAGATTTAAAGAAGTACAAAAATCTTATTTTCCTCATCATGCAGTAAGGGACAGAGGGATATAGTACATCAAAGACATGTGAGACGTCCAAAAGTGTTTCAACTGAGGGGTGGCAAAAAACTGTATGGTAAAAGCTGAAGCCTAGGATTGGCATCCTTAAACTCAGGGAAGGAATTTCAGACAAAGAATGTTCCAATCAAAGGTCAAACCAATGAACAGCTGGGGGTTGGTGCAGAATACCCTTAACCCTTGAATGCAGGAAAAGGGAGATCCAAAATAAAACAGCCCTCTCATAAGCAATCTAATGGGAGTGAGGAAAGGAGACCTTTAATGACAAAGAAAAGGGTAGGAGTGCCAAGTCCCTTTTAAGGAAGTGGAAGTGAGGATACACAGTAATGCAATAGACAAACAAGGACCTCAGAACGAATGGGTGAGAAGGAGACGCCTCACCAATAGCTTACCATTACACTTACACCAACAGCTGACACAGAGGTGGGACAGTCAAAATACTCATATATACACACATACGCATATAAAATCAGTTTACCAGCTAAGGAAACTCTGTATTTAGATTTAATTATCAGATTACTGTGTCTGTTGCTCTTCCAGGGAGGTACTTAACTAACAAATTGATATTTCCTTCAGAGGAAGAAAAATAAATTGTATTATTAATATAAATAATACATTTATTTATAAGCTACAACCGCTTTGCTGTCTGGCATAAAGAAACAGACTTCAGCCGTGAAAGGTGAAGTCTTAGAATGCCTGCAGAAAGAAGGGGGATTCAATATAAAGACTGACGCATATGCACAGATAAAGAAAAAGTTTAAAGATGAATGAGAAGGGAAAAGAGAATTACCATCCTTTCTAGAAACCAGTATAAGAACATAGGATCTGTTAGATCACGGATCAACTGTGCATAGTCCAAAAACCAGAGTCTGCAACTCAAGAAACAAATACGTACTGAGGGACACTACAAAAGGAAACATTTTAATGAGTTCCCATTAGTCTTACAATCCCTTAGAAGGAAAATGGGATAGTGTTTGTTATACTAAAGAGAAATTACCTTATTATAACATGAAACGTCCATAAACTAGGACACTGAAACATCTCAGTAAGAATCTATGAAGAATTCTACGAAGGGGAAGCAAGGAGGACTATTTGGGACGTAATAGTCAGTGCTGTGATAATGACCCGAATCCTTCAGAAGCTCAAGTCAGATGATGTCTATCAACCATGTAGATCGAGAGATCCCTCTTAAGAAAGACAGGTCTCAGGAGATATAAGCTTCACTAGAGTGTAGTAATCCAAAAATTAAATAGACTCTTTAGTAAAAGAAGGGGAAGAATACCCCAAACCAGGCTCCAGGTAACATAGAAGAATAAAGTCCCAGGGTGAAGAGAGCCTACATAATTCAGGATTACGTACAATGAGGTACTGAGATCCAAAAAATGAAGAAAAATTTCAAGATCAGAGTAAAAACTGCAGGTGAACCTGAGCCTTAAGACTGAAATGTAGTTTCCAGAAAAATTTTGTAATGGTAAAATGGGGGGTATGGTTTTAAATAGAAGGTTTACAGCTGCAAAATCTGTGGTCCACATAGGAAAAAGAGTAAGGCTCTTTAAGAGTTAGTGTAGCTGTAGACTAGAATCCTTCTACGTCATCACCAGATCTCCTACAGTGAAATGGGCACCCGGAACGAAATTTAAGACGGTTGGGTATGCCACTTTTAAGAGCATCACCAAGAAGATGCTTTCCCTGAAAGGGCAAGTCAATAAGATGTTGTTTAAATGTATAATCTATGTCCCAAACATGTAGCAGAATGACCTGCACACATGGACAGACATAGCTGCCATGCGAAACAGTAACTGGTGACAAGGACGTACCTATATAAATAGGGCTCCCAGGATTTTTACTACAGATGAATTGCCCCCAGAAATAGTAAGGGATCATGGAACAAGGTCACTTGAACAGGACTGTCCTCTTAACGTCTTTTAAAAGATATAATGCACCTGTAGGTTGCTGTGTTAAAAAACGAAGGCAAAAATAGAGGCAAGGCCTTGCGTACTTCCAAACCACAGCAGACTGAGGTGGAGTGAAGTATAGGTAGAGCTGACAACACCACTAAAGGCAGGCAGTGGATCAAACTGGAGAATCCACATGGTGATTTCAATCAGGAAAAGCAGCAGGACAAGTTTTCTTTCCTCCAGAAGGGCGTGAAATCCAGTGAGGTGCTTACGCACAGTGCTGTTGAGATCTCACAGGCTGATTGCGTTGTCTCAGAAAAAAAAGGTGGGAAGGTTTAAAAATTAAGCCTAAAGCTGGTAATACACTAGTAGATTTCAGAACGAAAGATCTTTCTTTACCGATAATGCCATCAGGCACTTGACGAATGTCAAACAACATTTTAACATTCTATTTTGGAATGAATGGAGTTTCCCAAATGAAAATCACATTCACTGTTAGAATTTTGTTCGCTCAAGAAAGATTTTCCATCCTGCTCCTTCAACTTTTTTTGTCACTATGGTCGAAATCGATCGTTGATTTGACCCCATCAACTAATAGAAATTCAAAAGAAAGTTCTTTCGTACGGAACTTCTTTTGAAAATCTAAGCAGTGTATGGCCACCTTTATGACTGAGTGCATTGATGCAATTCTTGCTGTTTCTGTGTCACAACCTGCTCATTAAATGAGTGAAAGGGACAGGGTCACACTCAAAGAGGAGCCACTGTTCTAGGCTTGGGGACTGTAAGGTCTTCAAAGACAACCAGTGGCAGTGACACAGCCCTGAACCTGTAAAGTGATCTACGGCTAACTAACAAGTACCCTAGGTCTCTAGTAGGCTCCACAAGTAGAGCCTAGTGCCTAGTCTTAATTGAAGAGAAAAAACATCTACGAGTGTTAATGAGAGAAAAAAATACAGATAGAATTTTCCTCAGCATGATGATTAGTAGCGGGGTTTTGATATTTTTATCTGTTTGCCAGTGTGTACCTCCTAAAGGCAGCAACATAGCCCACACATCTATGATTTACAAATATCCCCATGTCCCTCAATAGACTATAAAGAAATACATTTAACCCAGCCTTAAATGGTAATAATTTAGTTCAACAATTACTTCTCAGTTAGTCTAGATCTATTTTGAATGCCAAGACTTACCCCTTCTAAACATAATTTTATAGCAATAGATACAGACAAATATAAATACACCATCTACTATTTCTTTAAGCAAAACTTACCCATAAAACTAGAGTATTCATTAGTCGATCAATGCTGGTTCTTTTAAATTTAGTTTTACCACTGTTCTGCATTAATTTAGTATCTGGCCCTGCAAAAATATAAAACCAAGGAAATTTCATTGAAAGGCCACCTTATATTCATGAGTTCAAAAATGTTTTGGAGTACCAAAAAAATTTAAATGGTTAGAATAGAATAATTCAGGAAACAGAACACCCTATGAATTCACTGGAACCTGGAAGCTAAAACGAACACAAAGGTCCCAATCTAGTCTGCAGTTTACACATATTTTTGTAATGGTCACAAACTGTCAAAATGTCTCACTGTTGCTAATAAACCTACTGCGTGGTGGGCACCTATTAGCACTACCCTACACATTACTGCATGCTGAAGCTTGACTAATTTCCTGAATTTAATTATGAAAATTGTTGGGACTATGAACCTATGATCTTAGGTAACCTTGAACCAATGCAAATGCAACACAACAGAGATCAGCACATCTGAATTGCATTAATATAAGCATGCTGAAACTGAAACATACACTTATGCATTTCCCACAGTAATGCAAGCTTACTGAAAAGCATGTAAAATTCCAAAGTTTAATAAAAAATTCAAGTTCAGGTTTCAGAAACCATAATTTTATTTATCAAGTTCACTGTTTCTTCCATATTTTCACTTTTATGAATCTACTTATGATATGTTAATCTAGGAGTAAAAATAGTGAGGATTCTTAGAAAATGAACATTACACAATTACATAGCTAGAGAAAGGAAAAAACAAAAAGCGAGAGTTAACAAAAAAAAATAATAATAATGGGATCAATTTTACACTAATATTTATTATACTTTTCACTTACCTCTAGAAAACTGTAAGTAAATAAGGAAAAGTAACTGAGAGGTAACATCTTCAGCTCCTTATTTTACAATATGTCAGGGGTAATCAGAGAAGTAGAAAAAAAAATTAACACACTGGCAAGTTACCTGCAAAAATGACCATTCCAAAGCACCATTCAGTGTTTCTGAGGACACATCCTCTCAACAGCATCTTGCCATTATTTAATGAATACTTGCTGTCTTTCCAGATTAGTGTTCCATTAAACTTGTCAAGCTTGTTGTTTGGAGGTTCACACAAGACTTCCCCTATAAAAAGAGAATTTATTATCATTCAATTTTATCTGAAGGATAAACAAAACAAGGATTTATCTGCTTACACCAATCAAGAAAAACATTTGTATATGATGCCATACCGTTAACTCATACCTGTTGCCACACTATTGTAACTGAAGTGCTGGGATGATGTAACCTGAAAGTAACTCAAAAGTGCATGTGCAGGAGTTACATCATCAGTGGAAGAAGAAATGTCGCAGAAGATGGCAGCGGCATTGGATGGAGCAAAATACTGGAGCTGTCAACACTGGAGGAGGGCAAACCAAGAGTTAGGTCTGCCATAATATGCAATTCTGCTATGCATATCTGCATATTATGGCAAGGGAGGCCAACCCTTGGCCATGCTGCAGTTCCGCTTTATAATATTTACTGTCATTTTCAAGTGCAAAAATTTATCTGATTGAAGGCAGCAGGGAAACAATTTCTAAGGAGGCTCATGTGCAGAGCTATCTTTTGTGCAGGTAAATAGAGTGAGCAATAAACTCCAGGTTTGTTAAACATACAGTATATATAGATGGCAATGGAAGTTTATATAAATGCACATTATAGAAGCCATGGTTTACATATCTGTCACAAATTACTGCTGACAAGATTGAAGCAGTTAAAAGTTAAATAACTGGATGTTAATTTTGGGCTGTTTCAGTGCCTAAACTCGTGCACAGTGTGCCACAGGGATATGAAGGAGATACTTGCATGGACCACTATTCTTAAATATAAAATAAAACCCATATTCTTTGGGTCTACTGCAAGTGACTAATTCCAAGACAGCATATGACTGCTCATTTCTGGGAACACTCACACTTTTAATCAACTTTCTTTTAATCAGATCCAATGGGCACATCACAAAATACCAGCGGTGTATGGTCATTTATAAAAAGGTCAAGTGATTTCCAAGGCTCCTATGGAAACCTCAGAAAAGGTTGGTTGGTGTTGACCACTTCAAACATATTGCTTTTACTTTTTATGTATGAACCAGGGAAATGAAAGCGGGAATGTTACTAGTTGTTATGGACAAATCATCTACTTTATTTTGTATTGTGTTTTACAAATTAAACAGATACAGTATGTAATTTTACTCCTTAGTTCTCTTTTAATGTATACCTGTAAAACAGAAAAACAACTTTCACAGAATATGCTTCTGAATCAGTCGTACATTATAATCCTGTTTTTGCTTATTTAATTTGACCTTTATTTTATTTACTTTATTTAAGCTTTGGACTAAATATTTTCCAAACTCACACAAGCAATGATGATGCATTCGAAATGTTGCAGGAATGTGACAAGCTCTAAATTTACAGTTCTTGGACGTAAATTCTGAAAATCTGCCATGTGTGCGTTTCATTTATTTTTTTAAACTTAAGCAAATCAAACACTTTTTTCCTGGTTGGTTTAAGATTGCGCAAGCTTTAAAGAAACTCTGTACTTATATTAACGTAATCCAAGAAACAGTATTCTTGGATCTACTGTACATCTTATGGTGCCTACTGCACAAGATCATCATTACTTTGATTACACTACAGGAGTACAGAGCTGCTCAGAATTTCTTGAAGTTACAAGAAGTTTGAAATACATGTAAACAGTCAAGTAAAAAGGTAAATTTCTGAAGAAAATAGCATTACCACTTTAGGAAATTAGCAATTTTATTTTATACACTTTCTTTAGTGGCATGACTTTGATCAATCAATGTATATGTGCTACCAAGTACTGTATGTCTAAGAGATGTGAATTTTATTGCAAGACAGTGCTGTAAAAGGAAGAAAATAAAGCCTATGGGTTTAACTGAATTACTTATAACAATGACTTATCTAGCAACTTGGGAGCATCCTTGACTTTAATATACACAAACATCAGTAGGGAGCAGCAGTAAAAATGAGTAAGTAGAAACCAAATATTGTCTATCTCCACCAATGCATAAAATAACTAAAAGTTAAAACCGGTTTCACCGTTTAGGTGAACGGGGAACAGCAAAGGACAAGTAAAGTTGACTATGTATAGGTGAACCTGATCATCTGAAAATGAACAATCATACCCTTTAACTTTACAGTTCATGATATGTGAGTCCCCAGTACTAAATCTAGAACAATGCAGAATGATGTCATCAGTCTCTTGTAGTCTATGTGCAGATGGGCTGGAATGTGAAAGAAAGAAGCAACACAAGGAACCAATTAGTGACAAGGAGCATACTGATAGAAGGAAGGAGCAGAGTGATAGAGGGGATGAGCCCATTACTATGCTGCTTCTTCTTCCACTGCCCAGTAACAGGCTGGGTGGGGCCATGATAACCTGGGCTCAGAGGAAGAAAAAGAGTGGAGAATCTTTGAATTAAAAGGGAATATTGCACCAAAACCTATTTTGTATTCCTTTTCATCTGGTTAATTTTGGCAGGACTTCTGCTTTAATCCGAGCTAGGATGATATCTAAATAGTTAAAGGGCCTATTATGAAACTAAATACACAGCTTTATCACAACTGAAGAAATATTGTAGTTTTCCTCTATACAAAACTCCCTCAAGCTCCCCTCTTGATCTTTATTTGCATCCCTTTTTAACTCCAAACTATTATCACATACTGCAAACATGCAACGAAACTAAGTAATGGTATCGGTGCTGATACAGAGTATTGGGCGAGTACTTGTCCAAATGCTAGATTACTGGAACTTCCACTCAGAGGGTTTTTTTCCTGACTGGCAGTGCAGAGGGAACATGGAGCCGGATTCCTTTCCAATCAGAAAGCTGGGTGGTGGGTCATGACCCGCCTCCCAGCTTCCTGATTAGCGAAGAAGCCGGCTTCACTTGTTGCTATGCGGCCTGGCTTTCTAACCAATCAGGATACCGGGCAGCGCGTAATGACCTGCCTCCCGGGTTCCTGATTGGTCAGGAAGTCAGGCTGCCTAGCAACAAATTAAGCTGTAGAGCCAAAGGAAATCTCACTGCTCCAATTCCTTAGCTACCATCAGGACTCTGCAGGTGCTGGTCTAATAGGTGCGTCTCCACCTTGGAATGTAGTAGTATACGAACAGACCGCACTATCCAGAGAATTCCAATACTTCAGACTTTATTGAAATTCACAGCAAATCCAGTATAACAGTGAATAAAAGTGTATAAAGCAGCAAATACCAGCACCGCTATTCACTGTTATACTGGATTTGCTGTGAATTTCAATAAAGTCTGAAGTATTAGAATTCTCTGGATAGTGTGGCCTGTTCGTATACTACAACAAGTGAAGCTGGCTTGCTAGCCAATCAGGGAGCCGGGAGACGGGTCATAACGTGCCTCCCGGTTTCCTGATTGGTCACTCACTTCTTTTTAAGGGCTTCTTTGCCTGCTTTTATTGACTCAAACTCAAAAAGTCCACACTGGTTTTCCCTTGCAGGGGTTTTCAAGCATAAAGTACAGCTTTTCTGTCAGCAAAATAACAGTTTCACAGTCTCACCGACTTCGGATTGTTCCTTTAAAAAAACCTTTCCCACACAGGTTGTATCCAACACATTTGTTACACAGGCTGTTCTTGTCTTCTTTGCCACACAGGCTTGTCTCTTCACCACACAGGGGGATTGCAACCCAGGCTAGTCTTTTGCCACACTGGCTAGCTGATCCCTAGTCCACCAGACACACAGACTGGTTCCAGGGTGGAACTCCTTTCTTAGGAGGCTGGGAGTACTTGTAGAGGCCCTAACAAGCCAACTAGCTTCAGCTGGGCTTGTTACCTCCAAGCCTCCAGCTCTCTCAGCACTTCCCCCTAGAGGACAACCTTTGGTACTACACTTGATCCCAGACATTTTTATCTGACTGCTGCCATTATATATATTACTGCGTGTGTGTGTGTGTGTGTGTGTGTGTGTACATGACGTTAAAAAAAAACGTAGTATTGCAGTGTGCAATGATACCTTTCTTATTGGACTAACAAAATATATAAAAGAAAAGCTTTCGAGAGTGAACCTCTCTTCTTCAAGTCAGAAGCAATACATATTAAGGTTGGTTGGTGTTGACCACTTCAAACATATTGCTTTTACTTTTTATGTATGAACCAGGGAAATGAAAGCGGGAATGTTACTAGTTGTTATGGACAAATCATCTACTTTATTTTGTATTGTGTTTTACAAATTAAACAGATACAGTATGTAATTTTACTCCTTAGTTCTCTTTTAATGTATACCTGTAAAACAGAAAAACAACTTTCACAGAATATGCTTCTGAATCAGTCGTACATTATAATCCTGTTTTTGCTTATTTAATTTGACCTTTATTTTATTTACTTTATTTAAGCTTTGGACTAAATATTTTCCAAACTCACACAAGCAATGATGATGCATTCGAAATGTTGCAGGAATGTGACAAGCTCTAAATTTACAGTTCTTGGACGTAAATTCTGAAAATCTGCCATGTGTGCGTTTCATTTATTTTTTTAAACTTAAGCAAATCAAACACTTTTTTCCTGGTTGGTTTAAGATTGCGCAAGCTTTAAAGAAACTCTGTACTTATATTAACGTAATCCAAGAAACAGTATTCTTGGATCTACTGTACATCTTATGGTGCCTACTGCACAAGATCATCATTACTTTGATTACACTACAGGAGTACAGAGCTGCTCAGAATTTCTTGAAGTTACAAGAAGTTTGAAATACATGTAAACAGTCAAGTAAAAAGGTAAATTTCTGAAGAAAATAGCATTACCACTTTAGGAAATTAGCAATTTTATTTTATACACTTTCTTTAGTGGCATGACTTTGATCAATCAATGTATATGTGCTACCAAGTACTGTATGTCTAAGAGATGTGAATTTTATTGCAAGACAGTGCTGTAAAAGGAAGAAAATAAAGCCTATGGGTTTAACTGAATTACTTATAACAATGACTTATCTAGCAACTTGGGAGCATCCTTGACTTTAATATACACAAACATCAGTAGGGAGCAGCAGTAAAAATGAGTAAGTAGAAACCAAATATTGTCTATCTCCACCAATGCATAAAATAA